TCGGTGCCCCATTTGCCCCCCTTTTTTCTGTTTCCATCCATCCATCCACCTGCCCTTCGGCCGCTCTCTCCTCCTTTCCTTGCACTCCTTGGACTTTCTCAGAGGCTCCAGGGGGCGCGGTGGGAAGGTACAGGTGGGCGTCGGGCGCCCCCTGGTGGCCCGCTTGCCCGGCCGGGCCTGGGGCCTGGGAGAGAACCAGGCACTCGCCCTCCCACGCCCTACCCGCCCAGGGCTGGGGTGCAAGTCCTGGGTTAGCGGAAGCAGCGCGCCTCCCAGCGGCACAGCCACGTCCTCAAAACCCACTCGCAGGATTCTGGAACGTGGAAAGTGGCCTCCTGAAAAAGGCCTCTTGAGGCTGAAGCTAAGCAGGCTGAGAAGGGGCAATGTTGCTGCAAGCAGAGGTAGAAGGAAGAGAAAAATCTCAAATTTCTTCACACATTTTTCCATTGAGTCAGCACAGGGATGTGCTGGGAAGTCTGTGGTCTGAAATGGAATGGGAGGGAAAGGAGCGTGTGTGTGTGTGTGTGTGTGTGTGTGTGTGCGTGTGTGTGTGTTGGGAGAGGGGCAGCGGTGGGGGAAGTGAGCCCGCAGTGAAGCCACAGGGTGTGTCCACGAGCCATGAGGAATCAATTGGCCTTCCTGGACTGGGCCTCCGCGGCCGACTTCCTGCCAGACCTCAACCCTGGGATCAGAAGCACATCCCTGCCATCCTCCAAGCTCGGCTGACGAGAGTTTAAAAAGCTAATGGGAAAATTTCCCTCAAGGTTTGCTCATCCTCCAAATGCAGACAGTGGAGAGCCTCTTGCCTGGCGCCCAGGACCCTCCAATGTCCTGGAGGCAAAGGCTCACCAGGCCCAGGGACAGCGGCAGGGCAGTGACACTCAGACCAGCAGCAGCAGCAGGGAAGTAGCTGGGTGACCCACTTTCTCACTTTGGGGTCTAAAGGGGTAAGGTCGTTGGGATTGCCTCAGGAGCACTGGCTGTTGTAGCCTCAGGGACACCATCTTGCCAGGTGGGACTGTGGCTGTGGGCCTGGAATATTCCAGCTGGTCCCAGCAGGGTCGTTCATTCAGATGTTTCTTTGTGAGCCAGCCTGTCAGCTCATGAGGGACAAAATGGAGCATCTGCTTCCTGGCTCTGGCACCTTCCAGACATTTCTCTGCACCTTGATTTCTCCTTCTGTGAGGACAAAATTACGAACCCCACCCACCCCAGTGCACACTCAGGGGTTGTCAGGACTCTGGGAGAGAATCATTATGAAGGCTCAGTGTCAGCACAGGGTAATACTCATACCACAGGCTTATTTCCTGGCCTGTAAAATGTGGTCAATGTCACTCATCTGTCCCCTCAGCCAGTGCTTTGTGGGCCCTGCTTGTTAAACAGCCCATCCAGCTTGCGGCTCTCACTGCCTGTTGATTTCATCTCCTTAATCTTCAACAATGACCTCACTGGGTGGAGCCAGGGCCAGGCCGCTCAGGATGCAGTCAGTGACTCAGGATTGTTTTGGGGGCAAATAAGAGGAGTCGGGGGGGTGGTCATTTCCAAAGATGCTGGATAAATCAACAATTTGAAACTCAGAACACATTTCTAAGCTGTGGAAGTTACCTGCAGAAACCAATTTAGCTCCTAACATACTCCAGCTATAGCTGGAAAAACTGGTGGAGGGTGGGCACTAGTTAACATCTTTTGAGCACCTGCTACGTGCCAGGCCCTTTCTATTTGCTGTGGCATTTAATTCACGTGGTATGTTATTCAGAGGGACCCTCCCTTGGCTGAAGTCACACAGCTGGTGGGTGGCAGGACTGGGCGCAGATGAGACCTGTCTGACCTCGGTTCTCGGCTGTGATTTCCACAGAAGTCAGCCACCACGTGGAACACAGTCTCATGGAAACGCGTGTCCAAAGCCAGACTCCCACCTTCTCGATAGACCTCTCCTGGGACCTGCCCTGGGTAAGGTGATAAGTGGGGGTGGGAGGCCGAGGAGGGAGGTCCACAGAGGGGCAGGAAGGGACACTGATTCTTTTCAGCCACATCTCTGGGGGTTGTTTCTGCCCCTCCTGAGCATGTTGTCTTGATTCTCAGGGCAGAGAGGCTCACAGTGGCCTCAAAAGGTACACGTGACCGACCCCCTGCTTCCCGGTTCTGGGACACACACCCACCAGTTTCTCTGCCCTTTGGTCCTCCCTCCAGGCCCCTGCTCCTCCCTTGTCGTCCTGATCAGCCATCACACATTTGTTTGTTTATTTGTTCTTCACGGGTCTGTTGGGCATCCTCTCTGCGAGCATCTTCATCCACTCAGGCCACAGCTGGGTGCTGGGGAGGCAGCCTTTTAGAAGGCTGGCCCAAGATCTTGTCACCCAGTTCTCCTCTCACTTTCATCACTCAACTAACTGTGAAAAACAGTCGCTCCATGCCTGCCTTTGATCTGCCCTCAGCAGGACTCCCTTGTCCTGGCCACTCCTCACTCCAGCTCTTGCCTGTGAGGTCCTTCTTCTTGGCAGTGGCCACTTCACAGGCTCTGCTGGGAGGACTCCGGCCAGCCTTCCAGCCCTCCCTCTCCAAGGTCACACTTTGCCTCTATCCCTCAAGCAGGCTTGATCCCCCAAGTGACTCCCCAGCCACTTTGAGAACCTGAATTCAAATCAGTTTACTCAGGGGACATTCAATTTCCAGTTGTGAAATTAATTTTAAAGCTCACCTGAAAAAAACAAGCAATATTAGAATATCTAGAATTTTTTGAGGAAATTAGAATATCTACAAGGTTTGTGTTTTTTTGAGGAGAAAAAATCAAGAAAGAGTAATATCCCTACCAAATATTAAATTAAATATAATTGTCATAAAGCTACATTGCCTTAACTGGTTTGGTACTAGTGCTGAAATAGGTAAAAGCAGTTCATTTAAACAGAATATATCCCAAATATCTGTGGGAACTTATTTTTTTAACATTTTTTATTGATTTATAATCATTTTACAATGTTGTGTCAAATTCCAGTGTTCAGCACAATTTTTCAGTCATTCATGGACATATACATACTCATTGTCACATTTTTTTCTCTGTGATTTATCATAACATTTTGTGTATATTTCCCTGTGCTTTACAGTGTAATCTTGTTTATCTATTCTACAATTTTGAAATCCCAATCTATCCCTTCCCACCCTCTACCCCCCT